CGATATCCTACTGAATACTTTATGAGCGTTGGCTAACCAATCCCGAAGCATCCAACTTTCACCGTCCGTCAATACGTCGCGGAACTGATTGTGCAGAAAATGGGATTATAAGGGAAACGGTGCTCTTGTAACATCAACAAGTCGCTAGCAGCCAAGCCAATACGAATCAACTCAACCATTCAGAACACATATGATCGAAGGATCACCTGGTACCTCAATAGACACCGTATCCCCACGTTCCTCACAGAACCAAACCCCAATATCGGGAAGACTCGCATCATCGCCCGCATGAGCCAGTCGATAGCCCGCCTCCTGCATGACCCGTCGCGACTCGAAACAGACCTGCGACAGCGGCGCGTAGAAGTTGATGCAGTTCCTAAAGGCACGCCACTTGAAGGCGTGCCTCTTGGCGTCGCTGAAGATGCTAAAGTCGCCCAAGTTGTTGGGGTCGTTCAGCACTATGAGCTCACGGGCCCCCGGGAGGGCGAACTTCCAGATCATCTCCCGGATCTCGAGTGGCAGGTTTATAAATTGAGGGAATGATGGCCGCGCTGGCTCGTATATTGGTAGAAGGGGAAGGGGAGGAGCAGAAGCCGTAGAATCCGATGTCCCGCTTGTGCTGAGTGGTGGCTTTGTTGATGACCGACACCGTCCCATAAAACTCGACAGATAAGTAGATATAGCGGTTAGAAATGATCCCAGCATTTGTGCGGATGCCAGTAGTTGCGTCCGTCAAATAGGGGGTTTAATCTACTGGTTCCCCTCTTCGCCTGCGGTTTTCCTTCCAAGAGTGATTCAGGGCGCTAATAAGCCAGAGATGAATCGAAGCGACACATCGAATACCCTGGAAATTCTAGGTCTTGGAAATTGAGTCAGTAACTGATGAGGTTGAATATATCTGGCTGAAGGACAGGTTCGGCTGAGGTACCGGTGAGACGAAGAAATGCGGGGGACTAAGGCAGCCTTGACCGAGGCGTTTTCACCTAGGGCTGAGCATTACACAGTAGCAATATGTAATCAGCCTGGACAGTCGATTAGATAGCATTTAGTAAAATTTTGTGTGTTACAACTTTATATACATTCAATCTCATATACCTATGTTAGAATCTCCCTCCTATATGTGTCTTAAATATGTCAGATACCACGCAGCTAGGTATGGAAACGGGATTGAACGTGGTCAAATCATAGTTTCAAGTTCCAAGATTGGAGTTATCGTTACTATGTAATATCGCAAACACGCAGTGGTGTGAGTCTATATAGTGGAACCTAATATTGGAGTTTGTAGAGGTTGGGAAGGAGATGGCCGTAGATCGCTCGTAAGTAAGTGCAAGAAACATATCACCTCAATTATATAGTGAGAGACTATCATGATTGCACACCTGGAAAAGTGGTTTGGAGGAATTGGTATTGTATAAGTCCGTTCACTTATAGAGTAGCAATGCATATATTGTATGTGTTTATAGCGTCACTTCTCTCAATCCCAGCCATTAATTGTCCCTTTCCGTCTCTCATGTCGATCTTTGATTCTCATCAATTGGTTCATTCGTGTCCCTCATTGCTCGCAATCATGATCATACCACGCCCAATAACGCCCTCGCAGACACAGATTTTCCATTCCATCAAACATCAACAAACTCTCCATCATACGATTTCCCAAGCAGCCTTCCCTCTCTGTTCAGGGAAGCGTTTTACAGGTGGCTTATGGCCCCACATGAAAAAGAAAAAGAAAAGGGGGTGTTCCCATCACCCATCGTTCGCCAATTACTCGTTTAGCCGAAGATATAGTGAGTATATTCGCCCCAATCAATCTCTCCTCTCATGAGTTTCTGTGCTTCGCGAGAGGGATTACCATTCTGACGATCCTGAGCAGGCTGCTCGTTCGCATCTTGGCCCTGTCCAGAGCCCCCGGGCCCGCGGTGGGCCGGGAGTTGTACTGGAGGGCCTGAGGCAGGGCCGTCCCCAGGGCCCGGAGTCTGGTTCCGGTCCAGGGGGCGGCGGGTGTAGTGGGCCCCGGCGAGTCGAAAAATTGGTCTCCTTTCTTCTTCGGTCATGACCGCCCACTTCGTGTTTAGTATGGAGCCTGGAAGACTAATAGTCAGTACAAATAATCATTAAACAAAGGCAATGTTGCGCAATTTAGACTTAGACTCACATATCTCCGTTCGTTTAAGCCCGCGATTCTCTTGCTTGACGAACGGGAATTGATGAGACTTGAAGGCCGTGAAGCCATCTGGTCTTCTGACGGCCTTCTTTTTCTGGACCCGGGGTGCTGATGGTGGAGGCAGGGGGGCCTCGGGGGGCTGCGTGTGATTGGGTTGTTGCATATCAACCCCGGAGGGATGGTTAGTTGGTCCCGCTGGCTGGGACATCGCCGGGACGAGCACCGGCAGGCTAAAACCCGGTATTCTTCGGGCTTCACAAGGCCGGACCACCTTGATACTGGCCAGGTCAGCCAGGTAAACTCGGCTTAGGTCCGTTGAGTCCAGGTAGAACTCAACCGGGTAGCCGAGAATCGAGCTGGAAAGTTACAAAAAGGGTCAGCAAGATGATTCAAGCAGGCTCCAGCTTAGGTAAATGTGTGTGAAAGTAAAAATCATGTAGGTTAATTATAGTTCGAAGCGAGGAGGGTAAAAGCATAATAGAAAGTATGAAAACAATATGAGCCGGCTTTTTGAATATAGAAAAGAGCAATGCTTACCTGGCGTGGCTCGTAGCTGCGGTTTGACCCTCTATGTCGAGGAGCGTAAATAAATCAGTTGGGATCTTGACGATCCCGGTTGTCCCGTCGAGCTGGGCCGATATGTGCTGGATGAGAGCGGCTGAAGCGACGCCGCTGCCGAGGTTGTTCGCAGACGACATGTTGAATTGTCGTGATATGGTTCGGATATCCTTTGTTGGTGATATTAGGTTAACGAGTCGGGAAACGAGAGGGGCAAGCTGTGTTACCTTCAGGTGGGCGTTGGAAGATGGGCGATGGGAGCTGCACGCGGTGAACTGGGTTGGTTAGGGCGGGCGGGATGAGATAGGGGGTTGGTGTAATTCAATGATTTGAGATGTCAAGGGGGATAGCAATTTCAAGTTGCGTTCGCAAAGGTCGAAGATTAAGGAAAATAATTAGAAAAGATGAGATGTGAGTATTGGAAGAAGAGAACATTTGAAGTTGTGGGCATGCAAGACGTTGAGGTGGCTGGGTATATATAGAGTGTGTGTTTATGTACGCGTGTCTATCTGCCTGTCATTATTTTCAAGAACAACCGGCCAGCCAGCTGTTTTGGGTACTGCCTATACGTAATTACGGCAGACAATAGCTATTGTTATTATGTAGGTTGCCACCTAGCTGACCACATGCAAGTTCAAAGGTTGGTCTATAAGGTTTATTAGTAGCCACGTTGTTCTATTGGTGACCAAAGTTTCCTGTTTTCACCACCAAGGCGGCACAATGTACCTGCTCTCTTTTTCTTTTTGGGGTACCTTAAAACCTACGTTCAGCGGGGCTTTGGCCGGCGCTTGATGATTTGATATTGATGCCGTGTGATTAATTACTAGCTATCCTGTGTTGTGGTATTGGTAGTATTTCTGTATCTATATATTGGTGCTTGGATGCCCTTGGATCTGAGGGAGCTTCAGGAATCAATCGATTTATCCACTGAGCCTCAGGCTCTATCCTAACTTGTCCACTTAATGCCTTTTGCTGATCTCGGCCGTTGTCCTCTCGTTCTTCCAGACAGGCACGACTTGGGGTGCCTCTGCATCAAGAACGGTGTTCATAGTGTTCTCATAGAGTTCAGGGTTGTTTCGTTGAGTTATTCTTCCGAGCCCCACCCTGGTCACTCCTCCTTCTCAAACATAACAGACTCGATAGCCCGACAAACCTAAACCCGGGCGTGACATCCTTTTACACGTTGGTTCCCCCTTATTGTTGGAATTGGACTTGTTGTCCCGATTGCTGCCTTCGTTATCCCTGTTACCACCCTTGTTGTTGTCTGAGACATTGTTGCCGGACTTCCTGCTCTTCTTGTTCGATTTCTTGCTGATAAAAACTCTGAAGTCATTGTTGAACTCATCAACAAGGTTCCTAATAGCATAATATTTGTGCTTCATAACTTTAGCGGCCGTGTTATGATGACTGGTTGTGTTGCCCTTCACCGCAGCCATGAATAAGGTGAGTTATTGATTCGCACTGGTCTTCTATCCAACCTTGTTAGTAGGTGGTTTCGGTTTACAGTTCTGAAGCAAACTCTATACTAGATATCATGGATACCTTCATGGGTACCTACTCTTGGTGGCGTAATGGCGTACCACAATAAGCTGTCAACCATTTCATCATGCCCTTTCTAAATGACCCACTACATGATTTGTTGAGAAAGCTAATCGAGCTTGGCAAGATCCCACAAATCACCACCAACGGCACTTTATTTTGCTGTTTTCGTTCTTGTCCCTGGAAGTCGCGTTTGAAGGTACCAAAACACCCGTGTCCAGGCTCCCAAAACTCATCCCTAAAACCAGTATTAGAAAACTTATTTTGGCCGAAGCCGTTATGATCTGCAGGTTATACCGGATGCTTTGGTTGAGAATTCCTAGACTGAGGCGCAAAAATTGGAATTGGCGAACATATAGTAAATGCATGAATGTAGAGTTGAAGTTGCCCCGTGTACCTATGTTAACTATCATGCTTGAAAGTTACAATTATTGCGTCATTAGTCATCTTTTTCAAACAATGCACAAATAGTTGCAAGACGCTATGAACATGATCGCAACAGCTTTTAATTTTATTGATTTGCTTGTGTTGCCGTGTATTTTTATTCTGCCACAAAATGCCTTCTAAGAAGTTGTTGGCCAACTAAGGAATAGCAAACACTATCTATCTAATTGGGCTGCTTGGGTAGTTCTTACTAACTCCAATCTTCTCTGTTATTATACCGTCCATATGCTCATTACTACTAGTGTCTCGGTCTCAACCTATTGATATTAAGACCACCGTCCTCCAGATATGACAAACCGGTCCTATAAGTCAGTTGGTCAGAGCGTCGACTAATATTATAATTGTCTTATAAACGTTGGTAGTGCGAAGGCCGTGAGTTCAAGCCCCACCGGGACCAGTCTATTTAATATTGCTCATTTTTGTTTCCATGAAATATATCTACTTATCTTATGTGCAAAGACGAAAGCCATACCGCGTAGTGAAATTCTCAAGGCGGCCTCTTTTACTGGCGGCATATGGCTTGCTCACGTTGGTTTGGATAAAAGATACAGTACGTACATAGGTACCCAGAGTTTCTACGGCAGAACTACGGGATGCATGGTCCATGTGCCCCACTAGCTATTGGCTACCTACCTATTGGCTGTCGTGGTTGCAGCCCTTCCTATTTTAGAAGGTTCCTATTATGCCACAAGGTGAACAGAACTACTATTAATAGAAAGAATGCTAGGAGCGCAGGGTTGGAAGCACAGCATAACCTCTTACTCTCAAAGCTTTACCACTTTTCCTAAGTAGACACGGAACGATTGGTGCTCGAACTAACCTCCTTATTGTAGCCATTACATGTGGCTTTTACGGTGATCACATGTGGACTCTGCAACTGGTAGAAGCCTAGACACATAAGTAACCTAACCTAGATACGTAGTAAGAGGAGGCTCAAAACCCAAGGGGATGTCATAATCGGCCCGGCCATGTACGTAGTAGACACCGCCACCCGCGACGCGCATACCAGCTCATAGAATCCTGCTAATTCCGGTAAATGTTCGGGTCACCGAACCATGAACTGGCGATCATGGTGTTATACGTCATCTACACTTTCTCGCCGGGTCCTCGGCCTCCGCTGGACGGCCCCTACCCTGCGTATTCCCGTCACGAGCTTGTTGCGGCTGTGAAGGGTTTGGCGTCGAGTTGTAATCTTTTGCAAACTCTATGAAGCAGTTTGAAACGAGCACTGTTGTAGCTATTATAGACAGCGCTGTAACGAATATTGTTAAGATAGGAGTACATATTAGATAGAAATCACTGGTATATATAAAGCGATGCTCCTGGACAGATAACTGGAGGGTAAAACAGCTCAAACCAATGTACTGAGTTCTCGTCACTATCACTTCGCTTTTTCAGGACCTAAAGACATTTGTTAAAGCCTCTTTCTTCTTACCGTATCAACGCATCATGCTGAGATTCTCTGCTGCCGCAATTGTACTTCTTGGGGGAGTTGCAGCTGGAACTGCATCGCCTGTAAGCATGCCTAGGTTTCTAAGAGCGTCATTGATGTTTAGGCTGTTTCGTTGCTAAATATAATTATCCAGTGTGAAGCTTTGAAAGCTGCAGGCCTCGGAGGTCGTTTGATCTCGCCCAATGACACAGGTTATGACACCGAGGTCGATTCGTGGTGGGCAAGGAACGCTCGCCAGAGAGCCGACTGCTTTGTCTTGCCTCGTACTAGCAACGAAGTTGCAACTGCCCTGACAACATTAGTCAATGCGAGCGGCCGCAAGAGCAACTCGAACATTGCAGTGCGTAGCGGCGGCCATAGTTCGACCGGAGCCAGCAGTACTGTCAACGGCGTGACTATCGACTTAAGCCGTCTCAACTCGACGAGCTATAACGCTGAAACCAACATTGCTAGTATTGGACCTGGCGGTCGGTGGGAATACGTATACGCGGAGCTTGTCAAATACGGCATCACCGTGACAGGTGGCCGCGATGGCGATGTTGGTGTCGGTGGCTTTCTCCTCGGCGGCGGCAACTCGTATTACTCTGGGCGGATGGGGTTCGGCTGTGATTCCGTCGTCAATTTCGAGGTTGTGCTGGCTAACGGGGCCATCATCAACGCGAATCAGTCATCCAATTCTGACCTGTGGCAGGCTCTCAAGGGCGGCAGCAACAACTTCGGCATCGTCACGCGATTTGACATGGAGGCTGTCCCGGCGCCGGATCTATTCAGAGATGAGCGTTTTCTGAGCTTCAACTATTCATATGCTATGGTTGATGCAGTCGTCGGGTTTGCTGATTCCGACGAATCTATCGCTGACGATGCCTTCTTTACCTTCTTCAGTCACAACACGGAGGTCAGTCCAGAGATTTTCGCTGCTGGAGTTCTCGTCAACACCCAGGGCATCCAAAATAACACCACGCCATTTGACGAGGCGAAAGCCCTACCGGCGTTCTACAATGTCACCAAAGTGCAGAACATCGCTGATGCAGCCTTTGAATCTAAGGTTCAATCCGGCACCTGGTTTGTGACTTCCCATCCCAGATAAGTAAGACCAATTAACTAATGTGACAAAAGGAATTATGGGTTGACATTGACTTTTAACAACGACAAACGGATCGCCCAGCGCTGCGTTGAGCTACATACAGAACTCGTCAAGTCGCTGAACAGTCTGATGGCGCCAGAAGCCTACTTCACGCAGATGTTTCTTCAGCCGCTGCCTTCGTACCGGTGGCCGATTGGAAAACAACGGGGTGGAAACGTGTTGGGTCTGGAAAATCTCCAGAACAACGCTCTCCTCTACACGGCCGGTATCGGGGTCATTGCGGACGATGCGCCGTTTGATGAAGCTCATGCCCTACTGAAGGAGATGGGGGCTAAGGTGGCCGACTTTGCAAAATCAGTGCAGGGGGAGATGGACTTCATCTACCTGAACTACGCGGATATTGACCAAGACCCTCTAGGAACCTATGGTGCTTCAAACATCAAGCTCATAAAAGATGTCGCCGCTAAATACGACCCCACTGGAGCCTTCCAGGCACGCGTTCCGGGAGGCTACAAGATTTCTAATGTTGAATAAGTCCGGCTTCCCGGTACAGCCAATATGCTGGGGCGGACGCATCAACATGTGTCTACCTTTCCTTCACTTCTATAGAATGCAATTATATATTTTCACTGTGCTTTTAGACTAGACCTTAGCAATATTGAACCCTCGATGCGATGGTCTCTAGAGATTTACCTTGGCTGCGCAGCAGTTGGTCCGACACCTCGAGTCTTGTGCTATTTTCGCTGCAGGTGCTTCGTTTTGCCCTGGAAGGTTGGTGGTGGTCTCACAATAGGCGGGCGACAACGAGGTGAGCAACGCGTACCTATAGTGTTACAAATATATCAGAGTATGAATTGGATCTTTAATGGAGCACTTAATAATCTAATGAATTGATCCAGAAACCCACCGTAATGAGTCCATTGAGAAATTGATAGTTGCAAAGCCTTCGCTTTCAGATCCTTTCGTAATCAGCTATGTCGCGTACATACCCCATACTCGCACGGGTATAAGCGTTCGCTTCTGGTCCTTGATATGCTGTATTTGGTCCGTACTTTAGGGTACTTTCCTAGAAGCAACGATTGATATGAGGGTAAGAATGGTTTCTGCCGCAGGCGAACAAGGTGGGTAGACTCGTGGTGAGTCTGCCTCGTTTGTTCTAGGAGGATTTGAAACAAGCGCGCCGGTCTCCGGCCTTACCATGTGGTTTCGGGTCGTCACTGGTTGGGAACCATGGGTCCTAATGGTCGGCGCCTAGCGCTTTTCAGCCAATTTGCCAGCCATCGGGCGTATGCAGGTTTCTGTCTGAATTGCTTCCCCCCCCGGGCCCGCCGTCACCTACCAAGGCCACTGTTTTAGTTTTATAGAAACGTTCGTTTTTAACCCCTGTGTATCTAATTAACCCTTCTAAACCACTCATATTCTAAAATACGACCTGTCATGTAGTTCAAATGGGTGGCGGATTGGCGGAAATCTTGTAACCGCGTCACATAGGGGCTAGCTGCATGACCGTTATTTACTGGCCGTCAATGAACATCAAGAATGCGGAACACCAAGCACATCGTGGTGACATACTGTTAATATCTACAAAACCAGATGCTAAAGCGACTTCTGCGAGCTCGTCACCATCCTAGAGAGGGCCGCTTTTAAGATGCCTACGCGTAACTCTACATTGCACTCTGTTATAATATTTGTTTGAGCAGGGTGGGGTTTGTGCTTCCACCCTCCAGTCTCCTCATAAAAATCCCTTCGACAGTATCGTAATGTTTTCTCTTCTCTCATTTCTAATAGGGACTGCCGTTCATGCCACGATGACGCAACTCGCTAGACGAGATTGTCTCTCCACCGGCTCTCACGTCAGCTCGTTGTTATCAGCATTGGTTCTACTCCAAATAGTGATACAACACGGTTCTGCCCGCTCAATATGTAGCATTCTAGATCAGAGGAGCATGTTGAGCCATCACCGCCTCTTCCTCGAAACCACTAATAAATTACTGTGAGTACAGCTGCGATCGTCGGAAATCGTCTTTTTTTCTCCAGTGGAAACTACACTTTTGACGATGGCCTTCCAAGCAGCAATACGTTATCGCTTTACTGGTTCCTTCTAAACGACACAATTGACGTTTTAGGACCTATTGACTTGGATTTGCTCGGCTCGACATATCTTCCGAGCGAAAGCCTCATGGGTGGGACGAATCCAGAAGTGGGTGGAGCTGCTGGCACCTTTTTTTATGATCATACTACTTTGTACCCATATGCTGGCTTTGTAGGGCCAGAAGCTGACGGAATTCACAATGCTCTCTGGGCATTTAATTCGACTATTGATAGCTGGAGCTTAGTTCAAGTTGAGGGCGGGAAAATCTCCTTTGGGAATAATAGCGAGGGGGTATATGCGAGCGATTCCCGCACGGGAACCTCCTTTTATACTGGAGGCTGGGAAATGGCTTATAACGGCACGAACAACGGTACCGTCAAGTTTCAGTCATTTAACTCAGATTCGCCGCAGTGGACCTTTGAGACAGCTACTAACGGTATTCAAGGGCCTAACATCTTGAAGGGAGCGATGGTCTATGTGCGAAAGGGTCGAGCAGGCGTACTTATTGCATTCGGGGGTTACCAAACTACATATACAGGGGTCGAGTTTTATGATGGACGGCCCTTTAGCGATGTGTTTATATACGATATTTTCTCGAACACATGGTATCAGCAGACCGCTACGGGCGACCTCCCAGACCTTCGCTCCGAGTTCTGTGTCGGTGTCTCATCGGCGCCAGACGACTCAAGCTTCCAGATCACAATTCATGGAGGCTGGGACCTACTAGGACAACAGGCTCTTAACGACGTATATGTGCTAAGCATCCCG